CCTACTCTAAAAAACTGAAGAGTTCACCAGCAAGCAAAAAGGTGATAGGGTGACAATACAACCCTTGATATCATGTGCCTCCTGCCTCATCATCTTGAAAGCTTACTCTGTAGTGACTGAACCAGCTGGTACTGGATAACTACATGGTTTTGTACAGATTCTACCAGAATCCATGTCGGAAGCACCAACCCATGGCAAGTAAGAACAGAAATGCAAAATAAAAGCATAGGGTCCAAATATGTTACTACATATGATTTCACAAACTACCTCAAAGCCTTGCCTATGAAAATTAAGATGGTGCTAAACACTAGCTAGATGCTTCACTTGTGTCTCTCTTGGCACATTAATGGCATCACAGAATACAATGTGTGCTATTTTACTGGAAAATGGCTCCAATAGAATTGTTGCATAAAACATAAACCCAGAAGACATCACATGTCACCTACTCTTCAGCTCACAGAAACATGGCGAGATCTAACTAAGGACACTTTGAAGCAAGCTACAACAAATACAGGGATGCATGAGCACATGAAACTACCTTCAGTCTTTGTGAGCAGTAAGCAAAGCAGCCAAGTGGATTGAGTCCCCTCAGGTTTATGTCCAGAGGGCAAGTGAAGTTACCAGAAATTCAGCAAGCTTTAGTCCCAGAAAAAAAGGCAGCTATTTACCCTATGGCATAAAATGGAGTACCAAGTCTAACTACTACACTCATCACAATCGTTCAGAGCTCTGATTTTTTTTTTTTAAAGAGACTACTCTCCATTCACTTATCTCCCTCTAAAAGGTTTCAGTTGCTATGTTATTTTGTATCCTTATATTTGATTTGCACACTTGGTACACAACAGAGTTTAATCCAGCAAAGAGAAAAGCAGTAGTCTTTTTCTGTGTGTGTCTGTGTCAAGTCTTTTCATCAAGTACTTGTTTCTCAGTCTCTACATTTAATGCTTTGCTTGGCAAGTATCTTCACTGTGACCTATTGGGCTTCTTCTCAGTCTTATCTATAGATCAACATCCACCCAAGTAATTTTCCTTCATAGGTACCAACTTTGAGCAGGATCTTTTGTTCTTCAAACTAAAAAGGAGGGCATCTGAAGAAATAGCTCCCTTGTTAAAAGACTGGATTCAGCCTAAGTTCAGGTGGCCCTCCTTAGGTAAAACTTGATGCAGCATGGTTACCATTGAAGTACAGCCAATTTAAATTCCTAGTCACTTATAAATAGGTTTAGAAAAAGCACCACAGAAGCTTCCTGATCATAGAAGATATAGAGAAGGGAAATAATATATATATATCAGAAAAAAAAATCATGGAAAGAATGTTTCCAGAAGCAACAGAAAGGATTTTAAGTACTAGGACTGCGAGATTTTAAGAAATCTCTAGTCATTTCATCTACTCAATGAAACCAAAGAATTAAGACTTTGCCGAATTGCTAGAAACAACATTCAGTGCACATAGAGCATTTTGTAACTGCTACTAATTAGAAAGGAAAATCTGAAGAATAACTTGGGAAAAATCAAGCCCTATGCATTAGCATACTAACAAGGAGAGGCAGAATCAAATATGTTCACAAAAGACAGGGAATTTGCCTGAGAGCACGTCTAATAGATGCAGTTGATAATATAGCCAAGTTTGCTAAAAGGCAACAGACACAGAAGGTTGTTCAGAATTTAGAGACAGCAAGAAAAAGTGTAGAAAGTGGCACTGAGCATAGAACAGTACATCACGTATGTTCTGGCCTCCAGACAACAAGCAGTGCAGGGGAGCCTAGATTCTGAACGTTCAGAGTTTTTCATTACTGAAGAAAAAGTGAATTTTCAAGTTGTGGAAACCAACAGAACTTGTGTGAAAGATCTCAGTGCCCTGTAACAACTTCACATGCAGAGCAATGAACAAAGCCAATGGACTACGATAGGATAAGAAACATCTGGTAGGGTTACAGCTACAGGGCAGAGCTGGAGGGAAAAGGGGATGATGCAATCTGCTGTTCTTGCTGTACCATCCATTTGGGCATGCTCCACTCTTACCTTGTCAAGGTAACAAGTGTATACTAGGGTAAAAATCCTCAGAAACAATTGACCGTCTTTAGATCAGGGCAGCTAGTAAAGATTTTAGGGAAGTAGAGAAGCCCACTGGTATCTTCACAGGCACTGTAAAGCAGTGCCACACACAAGCTGGCAACACTAAGGATGCAAAGAAAGAGAACAGACAATCCTAATGGGATAGCAGGAAGTTGATGAAGAGAGAAGCACAGATGGATACTTGACCAAGAGAAAATAAGTAATCTCTTACTTTGAGCTTACATTTCAGAGAACAGGGTGCACCAGGGGAAGGGAAGGATCTCCCCTAGAATTTGAGGGGGGGTGATTTCAGGCCCATAGGTACCTAGGTGTATAATAACACCAAAGGAATGCATTAACTAGTCTGCTTTACGCAGAAGTAGTTTACCAATGAAGTGTTACACATGGTCCATACACGTTGGAAAAAAACAGAATGGCAATGTAGAGGCAAAACTTAGGTTGTTACACAGGATCTGAAAATTACAACCTCCACTGCAGCATACTCTGAAACGAGACCA